TTTGATGGAAAATGAGTGCTTGAAGTGCAAGTTATTGTATTTAGTTAACTATAATTAATTGGGCACTGTCATCGTCTGCGGGTTACTAATAATATTTACAATGATCACTGAAGGTTAGGAGGAGCTCAGCAGAAACTATAAACCTTTAAGAAAACTACTACTACAGTTTAAATGAGTCTCACTTATGTTGTGTTAAAAATAAAAAAAAAATCTCACTTATGTCAATCTTTCAAACACTCAAAAATATATCTATTTCATAAAAAAAAAAGATCTTTTAATACTTACAAGCACCAAACAATAAATTTAACACTGTTAAGAATGATCAATGAGGGTTAAGACCATAACACAAGACATTCACCAGAATTCGAAAACCTACTACAACAATCTGCTGCTGAAGTGTCTCACCTACGTTGACCCACCACTGGAAACACCAAGATACATAATACACACAAGCACCAAAAGAAGAGATTATGACACTGTTTAGAATGATCATTGTGGGTTAAAGCATGACACAAAACACAAACATTCAAGATTCTAAGAGACTCCCATCCATTTCATTAAATAAGAGATTTTATAATTATGTACAATCCCCAAACTAAATATAATAGAGATGACAAACACTGTAAACACAAAATGTAATGTTTCAATATTAAACAATTAATCTACCAGTTGATTAAATTATAAGTTAGCAATTAGGTTCTAGAATCTCAAAAAGATCTTAAGCCAATAAGAGAAATGTTATTTTAATTTTAAACGGAGCTAAAATCTTTATTTCCAATTGATTTATCTTTACGTATATATCACTTACAATAGTTTGTAAGTTTTCATTTGTGACCAAATTAATTAATGGGAGAAAGAAAGTCAATAGAAACGCATACCTACAAATTATAGTAGTTTAGGGAAAAATCACATATCCCGTTTCAACATTAGAAACCGGTGTGACACATGCTAATACTACAACCAAACGATGAAATTGTTGCAATTTTATTGTCTCCGATAACTATTTTGAATTTGAAAAGGACACAAAAAATTATTTTAACTTTCACGTCAAGTAAATATGCCGGATCACAAGTTAATAGTGATGAACCTTCATACATATAAACAATGTATTTAAATATACCCACGAACTTCATAATGCATTTTTCAACTAAACCAAACGTAATATCATGCTAAAAACAGAACACAAACAAACATAAACACTAACCAATTAAATTTTCCAATAAACATTTAGAAAATATGGACAAAATATTAAAATCCGCGCGAAGCGCGGATCGACCACTAGTTCAATCATATAACTCGCTTTAAAATTCTCTCTTCAGATATTAATAAATATAATTAGCTAAAAGTATATTCAGAGTTGGGAGGTCTTTTTTATTGGACTTCAACCCTTTTTTGGAATATATATATAAAAATGGTACTTAAAAAAAGGTATATTCAGAGTTACATATTCATATGTTTCTATATGTTTTCGAAAAACTTATATATAATTAAGTCGATCGTTAGAGTTCGTGGGATACATTTCTTCACGTACACTTTTAAATTGAGCTATTACTTATTAGGTGCCATATACACCAACGGAGACAAACTAATTAGCTATCTACCCCATTTAATTAATTGTGTGTAGAAAGAGTGGCATGTAGCCGCATATAAGGTAGGGACTAATTCGAAACCAAACATGTATTATTTGTATCGTAATTACCCATAGCTCTTTTCGGGTTTTAACTACCATATACCAACGTTTACACAAAGAAGTTTTATATGATTTTGTCATATAAATATGTCTTCCTTACATAAAAATATATATATACAATTCATGCGTTTGCATGCTTCTTTCTCCTTATCCGTGTTAGGTACGAGATAACGAAGGAGTATGCACATAAAAATATATTTATACGCAACACACACAACACATACGGTGAGAAAAAGACGCATGACGTAGAAAAGCAGCTTGAGCATGATTCCAAATACTTTTGTTTCTTCAAGTTGACATTTTACAGATAAGTATAACAATAACCCCTTCACGTCTGGTCGTCATGGCGCGTGCGCATCACGATTACCTGATTTTTTTTTTATTCAGTAAAGGTGGGCCCAGTGTGCTCCGGCTTGGACTTGGGCCCATTCAGTAACCTTTCTCCCTCTTCCATTATTATTCCTTTTTTATAATGTAAACGTCGATTAAGATTAATTTATTTTATAACAAACAAACCACTGATTTTGATGTTTTCAGTTATTTATTTTAGTACATGCATTTATATTATATTTATATTTCTAAACTTGTGATAATGGTGTAGGTTCTATCATGGATGTGGATCTAATTTACTTTCTGGCACGTCGTCTTTCCTTTAATAGTTACATCTTCTTTTATATCATAAACGACCCATTTAGATTTTTTTTTTTTTGTCCGCCACCCATTTGGTTTAGATCAATTGGTAGACAGACGAGTCGATTCTCCGAAGAGGACCTCCGTCTGGTCTGGTCTGATCTATATGGGAAAAAACAACTCCTTTCCTTCTTGCTTCTTTGGCTAGTGCATCAGCTCGGCCTTTCAAACTTCGGGGAATATGAGACAGCCGCATATCGTCGAAGCCCTCTTGAAGCCTCTGCAGGATCTCGATCTCTGTGGCAAAGGCTGGCCAATTTTCCGGGTTTATGCTCATATCCACGAGGTCCGAACAGTCCGTTTCAAACCGAATCTCGGGGATCCGCAAGTCTCTTAGGCATGAAGCTGCCCATAGCAACCCTTCCATCTAGATATCGACACCAAATCAAAAATAATGTAATTTATATCATCTCTGAAATAATTTATGAACTTTTTTAAATAAATGTGAAGGCCGGTTATGAATAACAATGAAATGACATCATCTATGCGATCATTAAGCAGTTAATAATCTTATTTGTTTCTCAGATAAAGATTAATAATCTAATCCTTCTTTTTTTTTTGAACAACCATAATAATAATCTAATCCTATGTTTCCTAAACACCTTATTTACTTCTTTTCATGTAAGAAAAAACATTTATTAAATACACAAAAAGGGAGATTCGCAACGGCGCCGTTTGGAACTATTAGACTCCGTAATATATTTAAAACCGTCCGATCCAGGCTTCACATAACAAAACACAAAACCAACGGCTTCGATCACTTCCGACCGCTGTTTCGCGTTTGATACGCCACTTCTTCTTCTTCTTCTTCTCCGATTTAAATCACAAAAAGAGAGAGTTTTAATTAAGTTTACGGACTCTCTGAAGATTACGCCTTTCGCATCTCTCTCACTCCACGTTTCCTTTCTTCTCCCTCGCCGAATAGATATCTGTCGGGAGAACAACTTTATTCCCACAAGTTTGGTTTTGTTCTCTCCCGCCCCCCCTCTTCTTTCGATTTCTTCCTCTACGGTAATCCCCAGAATATTAAAAAAAAACATCAATAAATCTTTTTCTTATTGTCGTTGTTGTTGTTGATTGATAGTTTTAAAATTTCTGATTATGCACACAAAAAAATAAAATAATAAAGTTCGATGAGTGATTAATTATGTAAATTCGATGAAAGTTTCTTCCTTTGGCTTAAAAGTTTTGTCTTTTGTTTGAAATAGTCTCTCTGTGGTTTGATGATTCTTGAATTTTTATTTGAGGGAATCATCTTTATGTATGGTTATGGTATGCCTATTTGGTTATAGTTTGTTGTTTGTTGTTTTAAATGGAGAAGCTTGAATCACGGGGAAGATAGTCATGTTTATGGAAAGTCCGTGTATTTCGAACGGGACCCCTTTTGTTTTAACTTCCCTCTTTTCTCTCTTTTCTTTTTGGTTTCTTTAACTATCATTTTAATTAGCTTTTGAAGCCTCATGCTTATGCTTCATCAAGTTATATGCTCTTCTCGTAAGCTCTTTTTTTTTTAATTTATTGTGTTGTTCTTGTGGTTCTCTGTTCTCCTTTGTAATATTTGATGAATCTATAGATAGGAATCAAAGTTATCTGAAAACAAACTTGGTTTTGTTATTGCAGAAGAGTAGGGGTGTGTTTTTATGAATGGATGGATTCAAGGGTAAAAGAACAGCCGCACCGGTTATGCCCCGGAGAGCGAGTGGCCTTGTTCTGCATGAGAATATGAAGAAGAAGGATGATAAGATTGTCCCTACCTGCAGCCGTGTTAGTTGCAGTTCCAGGATAAGTTCAAATCACAAGGGTGTCTCCATTGATAATAAGCCAAAATCCACGCTTAGATCTCCTTTAAACGGAAAGGAAACCGTTGGGAGTTCTTCTAGAACTACTATGAGTGGTGGATTAACAAAGGTCTCTAAAGTTACTGGTAGGAGACAACTCTCATCTCTCTTGGACACAGATTCTTCAGAGAGTAGTAGTGTAAATGATGAGGCATCACGTGGGAAGACCAAAGAGAGCACTATCAGAGAAGTTGTGAAAGAGGCAGGAAGCTCAAGCAGAGGTGCTAGCAGAAGCATACATCAGAGACCTGGTTTGGTCACCAGAGATACTCGTATTGGTAGTATTAGTGGTCAAAACGCAAGAGTTGGACTAAGAGACGTGAGGAGCAAACCTGAATCTGATGTTCTTCCTTTCAGTTCTAACCCAACAAGAAAATTCAACAGTTTTAGAAAGAAAAACTCTGATGGAGAGAGCAGCTCTTCAAGCAGAGGGAATAAGGCAGTGATTGAGGTGAAGAACCAGAGTTCCCCTCATGGCAATGGCATAACCATGTCTGAATCTAGGAGGAACAGAAACTTGCCTAGTGTTAGGGACAACAGTGTTGTTTCGAGTAGTACTAGGAGTAGAACAGGGCGTTCTTCTGGAGCGGGTACAGCTTTACAAGCTCCACCACAGCCTGTAACAAGAGCTGGTCTCAATCCTTCTAGATCTACAGAAGTAGTTTCTCGTAGTCCTTTGCATAGTTACAGTAGGCCAATCAGTAGTAGTAACGGCAGGTTACGTAGCCTGATGATGCCTGGTAGCCCCTCAGAAGCTCGCCTTTCTCGCTCTTTGATGAACCGTGATGGTTTCAGACGTTATGACGTTAATGGAGTTGCAGAGGTATTCATACTAAACCGTGTTGTGCCATGTTATTCAAGGGTCTTGATACCACAACTCTGATACTTTGTCCATGATGTTGCAGGTATTGTTGGCTCTGGAAAGGATGGAACAAGACGAAGAGCTTACATACGAGGTGGGTTTTAGCAGTTTCTTTCTGACTTTTAGAGTTTTGTTTTTGACGTTTCTTTTTCTTATTGCAGCAATTGGCTGTTTTAGAGACCAATCTGTTCTTGAATGGCTTCCATGATCAGCATAGAGATATGAGGCTTGACATTGATAACATGTCGTACGAGGTTAGTCTTAACTTGTTATGTCTATTGGTTTGAACGGTCAAAGGCAGTCACTGAAAGTTATTAAAATTCTTGCAGGAGCTATTAGCACTGGAGGAGAAGATGGGCACAGTGAGCACTGCTCTAAGCGAGGAAGCTCTCCTTAAAAGCCTGAAGTTAAGCACTTTCCACCATCCAACAAATGAATCTGGTGGAGTTTGCATGAGTAAAGATGATGATATCAAATGCAGTATTTGCCAGGTATCACTAGCTCTCTCTTTATCTAAGTCTACTCTCATTGGTTAATCAGAAAGAAAAAAACTCAGCAGTGGGGTTTTTTTGATAATGATATGTAGGAAGAGTATGTTGATGGAAATGAAGTAGGGACTTTACCTTGCCAACATATGTACCATGTGAGCTGTGCGCAACAGTGGCTTCGAATGAAGAACTGGTGTCCTATCTGCAAAACCTCTGCAGAATCTCAGCCACAGCCATTTTCATGAGACATCATAGTTCCACCATCCTGTTCTGTTTTCTCTGTACATAAAATGTTTTTTTTTTCTTTACTTATACAGTTATACACAATTGGGAACAAATAGAAAATAAGATCAGGTGAAGAAAGTCCTCTTTCACCTGTAGAAAGATTTAACATTTCAGTTGAAAATTCAAACCACTAATAGTTGGTTTAATTCCATATACATATATTGTTATTCCACTTTATTCTCTTCAACAACTCTATTTTCATTCACTCTTACTAAGTTGATACTTATAGAAGTTGCAACGTTTTGGAGCCATACTTTGATGGAAGCAATATTTGTGAGTTTTGAAGCTTCCTCTGTCAATAAACTCAACACCATATTATGCATGTTATAAACTAGATTAGGCGGTAATAGAGTTAAGTCTATACTTGCTAAAGAAGAAATCGAGAACTGTTTGCATCATAACTTGTGGACCCAAACACAATGTTTGAGTAGCTGTCGTTGGATGTTGTTCAAGCCTCAAACATTATGGCATCTCATTCTCTTTTGAAACTCTTTTTAAAGTTTTGCTAGAGACTCTGTTGATGCAATCTCTGCTCCACCATAGAGTGCAGCTTTTTTTTTGGGTAGGCTTGCAGGTCATAAGTAATATTGTCCCAAGGACAACCTTCAAGACTTTTATTAAGACTCTCCTAGGGTTTGAGAGTAGATTCTGACTCTGAAACAATATGTGTTTGTGGTGGTCAAGTGATTTCCATTACACGAGGAATTGCTATGTTGGTTCAGGTTAGGGATTGATTTCCCTCCAGTGCAAAATTATTAGATCCACATGTGGGTCGTCACCTGGAGAGAAGGTCTATATGAGACCATTTAAAACAATACTCTTTTGTGTTTTGGAGCCTTTTAAAAGAAATATGTTTTTCACCTGAAAACTTAACTCCCATCCTCTCTTATTCAATTGTTCATAAGCTTGTGTTCATCATGATTCACGATCAATATGAGTTTCCATCTTTCAGATATAATATTCATTATAAGTTCACAGAAAACATATGGCTGAAAAAGAAAAAAATTCATGAAGAAATGAAAGAAAACAAAATCATAACAAAGTGAAATGATAATCTTTGCATCGGTGAATGATAAAATTAAATGTTTGCATGATCATATGACTTATCAAATGGTAGTAGCAAGAGCATGCGCTACGCTATATCGTTCACTGGTTGTAAACACAACGTCAAAAGACTTGAACCTCCCCCAAAGCTCCCCAAATAAGTCTTTCTCAATCTCAATTTCCGCAAACCAAATCTTTTTCATGCAAAACTTATCATACTCGTTCCATAAAATCGCCATATTTCCACTAAAACCCATCATCTTAACATGATCATCAATACATAACCTAGAATATAGTACTACATCTAAACCTTTCAAATCTCTCCATAATCTATCGTTGAAGTTATACCAATATATCTTCCCATTACAACGGTATAACACGTTCTCTACCACACAAAGAGTTGATGACTTACACCATCCCATATTCATCATTAAATCTGCTGATCTCCATCTGACACTTTTGGGCAGCTTGTAAGTCACATCTTTTTCCTTGGATTTCACATAGACATCTCCCTCATAGGTTACACTTTTGTATTTGGAGTCTCTACGTAGATTTTAGGACCGACCCCTGCAACTTGGGATGAAGATGAGCAAGGTGGAAGATTAGGAGATGAAACCGGGACCAAAATCTTTTTGGAGCTATTTGGTGTTTGACGACAGAGAGTGAGCCAAAGTGTTTGGTTAGAGTGGAGTGATGATAAGCACACTTAGATACAACTCTCGGTGTGGCCTAAGAGGGTTCGTGTCTCGTAAAGTTTAATTTGTTGAGGCAAGGAGAGATCGGAATCTCTTGGAGATTAATGAGAGAATTGGATAATCTAGTCTTGAGACGCGTGCTAAACAATTAAACACCAAATCATCTGGAAGCATCAGAAAATTTGTCATCCTCTTTCTTTCTTTTTTTTTTTCTTTTTCTTTTTAGGATTTAAGTTGCTAATCACAAAAGATAACCAAAACCTTTAACCCTAAAATCGAATAGGTTGCAATAATATGACGGAGCACAGGTTTATGCAAGTTTATACATATATATATATATATATATATATATATATATATATATATATATATATATATATATATATATATATGTTCCTTGTTCGAAAAGGAAGCTTGTTTTTCTTTTTATTTTCCTCATCATTCTAGTAAATATAAAACGACCTACATATGTGCTGACAATTTTTCTAAATCTATACCTTAATTGTTTTATGTTAGTAAATTTCCATTTCCCTTTGATTTTCTGATATTTTCCTTTTCTGGACGAAATTGATACTCTTCGATTTTTGTTTTGTTGTTATACGTTCTCTCTTTGAAGACTATAAATCCAAAGTTCTTCGATAGAATAGATAAATCCTCTCATACAGTAGAGTTAGTGTTACAAAAGTGAGTAGTAATTTGAAAACTTGTTTTACAAGAATATATATATAAATTCCGATTGAAAGATGTGTGGGTTTTTGTTTAAAATTCCATAATTAACGAAGAGGCTACGATAAATATGACGATGATCCGATCCATACATAATCGTCATTGGTCAACAAATTTTGTTTGAATGATTTCACCCTGGAAGAGATCAACACTGCATCAGTATTGTTCAACAAACCTTAATTTCCTTCCTAAAAAGGAGTTCATGATCAAAATAGTAATCATATACCGGTTTCTTTCCTGGTAAAAATATACCGTAAATTTTTCATCGTTTGTAAGCATTTTGGTATCATATTTTTTTTTTTGATTAGTCTTAGGGTATCCATACCCATGCGAAGCCTCAAATTAATTTTTCAAAGATAGATCCTCTCATCGAGTATTTAAATATACCCTAAGCAATGTATCCATATCTGCATAGCCACAAAATATATTAGAATGCCTTCTACTGGATTATTTAGCAATCCAAAGTTCATCTACTACTAGACCATATCTTCACATGATTAACTATATCATTTTGCCTTTTTTTTTGACACCAACTATATCTTGTTTGTTAGTGCTATATATATACACATATATATATGTATGACATTATATATTAATCACGCTCTGTATACTAACTAAACATTACTCTTGTATGAAAAAACAAAAAAAAAACTTTTTTGAGCAAAAACTTAACTATATCATATTGGCTTTTTTTGTTTGACATCAACTATATCATATTTGTTAGTGCTAGATATATATATGACATTATATATTAATCACGCTCTGTATACTAATTAATCATTACTCTTGTATGAAAAAACAAAAAAAAAACTTTTTTGAGCAAAAACAAAAGATCTATTAAAGTAAAATATCTATTACACTAGCATTTCAAATTAAACAGATATCAAAATAACCACATTCATGAATAAATAGATGCTTTATTGTGACTGAATAACCAAAGAGAAAACATATATGGAGATACAATCAAAGCATAGGTTATGGACTCAGGACTGGCTATTTAATATTCAAAACGTACGAACTAAATATCGATTGCAGATATAAAATGAATAAATAAAATAGAACTAACTGAATAATGTTTTGGTAATGACATGTCCAATCATCTATCAACACAAGCAGTACACATCCAATTATGACGGCAGAACAAGATGTGATGTCTCCTAAACTAGTTTCTCAGAATGACCTAAACTTTAGCTTCAACCTATTGTCTTGTGGACTACTGCATGCCATGTCAACAATACGTCAGAATCTTCCACAAATCATTGTCACTCACTATTAAATGCTGCTGAATTTTTCTCTTCAACGGTGTACCATAACGATTGTGTGTATGTCGACGATAACAAAGCTCTGGCCACGTGAGCAGTACTCCTCGAGAGTGGGAAGTGTTTCTACAATGTCTCTTTATACACGTTTCGCGTTCCCGTAGGTCCGCCAAGAAGCTGACACTGCGTTCTTCACGTGAACCACTATGTTCTATTGCTTACGGCAGAACAAGATGTTTTTGACATGCCTCGTCAACGATAGACTTATAGTTAAACCAATAAGGTATCATCATTGCATTCACCTCCCTGCTTTGTCTCGTGTACAAAGTCATGACGTTATGAATGTAGGGATGGATTCAAAGCAGGACCTACTGTCGACATATTGTGTTCTAGTATGTGTTCATATTGTGTTCTAGGCCAACTTATAAATATTTACAGTCGGATACGCAATATTAACAAAAATACAAATATCTTTTAAATTCTTCGAAATTTTGATTTTCCTTGAAATTGATGTCTCATCATTTCTTCCACTTGGTAGGCTGTTTGCAAGCTGCTTGGTAATGCTCATCAGTGATCACTTCGAAAGCCAAACAGGTCATATGCGTTTCTAGATAGTAAAAAAAATAAGTGAAACTATCTCCAAAAAAACAAGTAAATGATACACATAGCGCTATATATGTTTCCAACTTAATTAAACTTTTTAAAAAAGTTTGATATGAGAAACATATATCCGGAAATCAATTAAGAGAAATCGAATGTGAAGATCGAACAACACAAATATAAAAGTCACTCCAATATATTTCTTAAGAATCAGGAATCGTGATACATTAGAAAAATTCCAATGACACTAAAACACTAATTTGGTGTAATTTTATCCTCAATGAAACACCAAAAATAATATCATCACTCCAAATTTAATGTAGAGTGAATATTATTTCACCAAATTTACTATAATATTATTCATCATACTAAATATATTTAATATACAAATATTATTATGTTTCATTTAATAATATAGCTCAATTATTATTATTAATTAGTTAATTTTGTAACTAAACATAAAAAACTGTATTATTTGTATTTTTAAATTATTGTTATATAACTAAAATTTCTTTTGTTTCATTTCTAAGTAAAAAATCACTATATGATTATTGTCATCACTTTATATTGAAAAAATAAAATATTATAGAACTTTATATTTATTTTAACAAGCTTTTCATATTAATACTTTTGTGATTTTGACTATAACAATATTTTATATAAATTACCTACCTAAAATATAATATCGTCAAAACCAAAAATATAAACATAAATAAAATTTATAAACATAAAAAACACAAATATTTAATAAACATACTTCCTCCATTTCAACTTAGTTGTCGTTATAGAGTAAAATTTTTGTTTCAAAACAAATGTCATTTTATAATTTTAATGCACAATTTAACAATTTATCAATTTTATCTATTATTTTGTTTTTCCTATTGATTGAAACGTGGTTAGATATACATGTAATCGTGTTTTTCTAGAAAATGTGCATATTTTATTTAATTTGTGTGTAAAAATCCAAAATGATAACAAAATTGAAATGGAAGGAGTAATATCTAAATGTGGTAAAATAATTATTTATCAATTACAAATAATAAATACTATTAAATTAGAAACATGTCCAATAGATAAAATTTTATGTCCAACAATAATAACTGCATTTGAATATATATTTTGTAACCACTATTTTCAAAAAATAAACCAAATATTTTATAAGTGTTTTCCTTTAATTTCTATATTCTAGGATCAATAACTACCACATCTATGAGAGTGTACAAATAAATTATTGTAGATGTTTGATTAAAATCTGTATAACAACTACGGCCATTTAAAAAAAAAAAATCTGCTACGGACAATATATATTCCTAATAAAAAATAATATTTGACTTATACATTATACATTAGTTAATCCAGTGAATTAATATCCACCTTTATTCTTACTATTATGATGACTACTAATATTTAAAATCTAATTTTATGCTTTATATTTACTAACCCTGACCTTTTAACAAAATAAATCATATATTAATATAATAGTATTTACCATTGCAATTTTTATTCAGTTTCATGAAATACAAATTAGTTGACTAATTTATCTACCAAATTATAATTTTGCATATAAATAAATTAAATATTAATTATCATGAGATTAAGTTTAAATTAAAACAAAAATAAAAATGGTTAGATTTATCTAGGCTTTTTGGGTCATCCAATACCGGATCATTGGTCAATAATTTTTTTTGGGTTTCTAACCGGGATTTATGGATTTTTTAAATATAAATTTTATAATTAAATCTAAAGTCCGAGATGGATTATATGCAGACCACTCGATTTACCATTTTTATCTTGGATTCAGACCAAATATGAAAATATCGCAAATAGATATTGAAATCCCAGACTTTAAGATTTCTTATGTACCTCGATCTCTAAATGCTGTGTCCGATCATTTAGCTAAGACTGCCCGATCCTTGTATCGGGATCTCATGTATGTTGGTTGTTCTATTCCGGTCTGGATTCCCAGACCACATCAAGCTTGAGTAATAGATCAGCCGTTTGTTGTAAAAAAAAAAACAATACATCAATATTTTTTAGTATATAGGTCAAAATTAAACGGATTCGGGACCCTTACTTACAGAGAGATTGCACATAGGTTTTTCTAATACATATACTATTAATTATGTTAATAATTCAAAATTCTAATAAATGTAAAAATATCCTGATTTTATTTAAACTTGATTACATATTTCATCATCAAGATTATTTTTATTAAAAGTTTAACATATTATAATTTGCACATTTATAATGTTTTCTTTGTAACATTTACATGTAAATAAATAATCAAAAATATAAATTTATAACAAATAAATTTGATTTATTTTGGAAATAAATCCGCGGTTTTAAAGCCGAAGCAAAAAATATAACTATACTTTATTTTTTTGAAAAATAAAAATTAATAATTGTTTAAAATAAAATAGAAAATTAATGTGTTAAATGTATATGCCGCAAGTGTATAGTTATTCAACATCACAAATAAAATACACTTATCAAAATCCTTATTCATAATTTATTTAAGAAAACGTAAAACAAAAAACATACCCGCTCTTTGAGAGGGCGGATTGGTATCTAGTACAAATATAAAGTTATAAAAAACTAAAAACATCAAATAATATATAATATTGTTTTGGTAAAATATTTGATGTTATAATATATATAATATGTGGTTGGAGATGACAAAATGACACCAAAAATTAAATTAGGTGTACACCAAATTTAGTGTTGTAGTTGGAGTTGCTAGAAAATAATTTCATCATGCCCCATGGATGGGTCCCTAAAATATTCCAGGTATCAAAGTTGTACGGAAGGTGAACAAGAGATTGTGATTGTAAACGAAACAGCCGAAATGTTATGTTACTCGATCACATATTACTCACATGACATGACAATGTTTAACGTTTATATAATGGATGTATCATGGATATTTGCTGTGGTTTGAAATATATTAACATCATCGATTAATGCTTCATATAGCAGTATATCAAAAACCGTCATCGATTCGTAAAAGAAAAGGAAAATATCATCCCAGAATTTGAGTTTGGATTAATATAAAAAAGCATTGGCTAACCACTGAGCAAACGAGCATATTTTTCAATATCAATGGAGGGCCCGATACGATGATCACGCAAACACTTTCATGATTGAGTTCTCCCTAAACCAAACATTCTTATTAATCTCAACTTTCTTTAAAGCACAATTACATACACGGTAACACAACTCTCAACGTCGACAGCAAATAAAACATGCACATGCACATGCAACTAAAACAAAAAAAACACACACACAACATTCAATTAAAAACAACTAAAACAAAACACACAAAAAAAAAGCTTTAACTAGAGTCACGGACGTGGAAGTAATTAGGGTTCTTGACGACGATATCGTACATGTAAACAGAGCTGAACTTGGTGAAATCTTTAGGGAGAGAGATGAGATCAATGGATGAGCGTTTGTGGAATTGGAGAAGATCTGTGTCGCCACTACCGAAGTATCTCTCCCATCCAAGACTCCGAAGGATCTGCTCGAGCGTCGAGTAAGATGAGATCACTTCTCCTGTCGGTAAATAGACCATCACTTTCCTCCGGCTATGTGTGTCGCCTGCTGACTGGTTAGGGTTCTCAACGAGCCTTATCACTCCGTTCTTGAACACCCACACGCCTGACATGATCTTCTTGAGAGAGATGAGAGAAAGAGAAAGTATATGATGCTTTAGTGTTTGTTGAGAGAAGAGAGGTGTGTGTGGAACTGTTTTTATAGAGCCGTAGTGAGAGGCTCTATCACATCAAGACGAACTTGTCTTCTTTCGAACGTGACTAAAAGAACTTGTTTATAATTATTAAGCCGATTTCATAAAGTAATATTCAACGTGGATATTAATATTAGATTCACACCAAAGATTTTTCTAATAATAAACCATTAATATTAATTTATGTTTACATACGAAACAATATATACAAACATAATTTGTGTTGATAAATTATTAAAACGAATGACCTTATCAAGATATTTCAGTGAAATATTTATAATCATTTTATTCCATAATGTCATGTCATTAGGCATACAAATCTTTTTCTATCTTAAATCCGATGGTTAACGTTACTTTAGCATCCTTTCTGATTTTACCAATTATAAGCACACTTTTCGTGATGAACATTGTAATCCAATTCACTCACTCATCTTTTAAGCGACAAATCAGTATTAAAATAACCATGGACAATAGCCCTAATGGTGGGAGAATCACGAATTAAGAGAACCACGCATACAATAATGGTAGGCGAATCTCTATCTCTTATGTTAATCTTTATATAATTCTTATAAAGATTATGAATTATTCGACGCTAGGAAAATTTAACAACATTCTCTTCCCTAACACACACATATATATATATATATATATTATTTTATCGTAGCTAGCCAATCGATGATTGTATTAGTGCACGTACACACAAACCCAGTGTTCGAAAATGCGGACTAGGCGGCCGCCTGGCCGGCGAGTAAACGCTTTGCGGCCAACCACCATGGAAAACGACCCTAATCAGTGAAAAAATCGGATTTTTTTTTTAAAAAGTTCCGTTTTGGTTTCGTTTTGTGTTAAAAACCTGTGTGTTTTGGTTGGATCTGTAAAACTTTGATAGGTTTAAGTAATAAAAGGATAAAAATGTGTGTAATTGAGTGAAAAAAGCTTTGAAAAAATGGAGGCACCGATGTTGCAGGTTTTAGGTTAGGAGGAAGATGATTTCAAAAGACGATTTTACCCTCTTTAAATAAATGTTGCGTAGAGTCGAACCCAAGTTGTGACAGTAAGACAACTAAGGCACTTACCAACTGAACTGGTGCGCAACTTTGTAATATCTAAACAAAGTTAATATTTATACGTATTTACATAATATGCTTATAAATTAATTCCCGATTAATCCCTATTTAATCTCCGAAATTTTGATAACTCGCTAGGTCCAGCTTCGCCGCCCGACTAGCGCCTAGCATAGTTTCGAACAGAGCACAAACCTTAGGCGTGATGGTCGAATTCATTTATAAGTTTTTTTTTTTTTGAATTCATTTATAAGTTACACTCGATTATTTTCTTCATGCCTAGAATTATAATAATATGTTTTATGATTATACATACTGTTATTGTAAAACTCACACTAATATTTTCAGTCTGTGAAGTTGTATCTTTCAATGTTGATATAAAAGTCTTCGGATAAAAAAATCAGTCTTCACTATTTGAAAATGTAGAGATTCGGAAACATAATTAATATAGAGGAGCGCATCTATCTATCGAAAATATATTCTGCGATATTGTAAAATTACCATATATATGTTAGATCAAATATTAAAGGCATAAAACTAACAATTAACAAAGTATAAACTTGTCGTTTCATGACTCCTTTAGCCACTAATGTAGCAAATATTCCTGCATAATTAGGTTTCGCATAACATTTTTAGGCATGTCATCCTAAAGATTCGATTGGAAGAATATTTATTATACTATTTCTGATTTGCACTAAATTAAATCTTCATTTATCTTTATACTAAATTTTCATTTTTATTTGGCTTACAAGAAATCTTTATCATAGCACATGGAATACCGTGAGGAATAGATTTCATAGGACGCGACTCAAAGTGATGTAATCAGACGTGAATCCGCATCAGAATGTATAGCAGTCAAATAACATCTATTTAATATTTTTCATAGTTTATCATGCATAGTTAACCAATTATAAAGTACATTGTAATACATAGTTAATCTGTGTTAAATAAATTTTTTTGAAAGAATTTCAAAAAAAGAGAAGCCATCACTTATTTCATGTGTGATTTTTTTTATTTGGACCATTCATTAGAAACATACTTAAATGAATTTTTGTATACATATTTGAAATAGTTTAATTATTCTAAGAAAAATCAAATAGATATTCTTATATTTTCTCTGAATTACATCTAAACAAAATATTTTCATATATTTTTATTTACAATATAAATATATATTTCATTTTTTGCAATCATTTTTAAAATACGTAATTACTTTCATAATTTTTAAAATATAAATGTATATTTCATTTTTCACCTAAACAAACCTTTTAAGTATTTACTTTATTACGTAATTATTTGAAAATATAAATTTATATTTCATTTTACTAAAATAAAATTTTTAAGTATCTGATTAATTATATAATTATATTAAACTCATGTATAATTTTGTATTGAATTTGTGATATTACTTTAAGTAATAATTTTCAATTAAATCCTTGATCTCTAAAATCTAAGATTTGTTAATTCAGAACTTTGTACTACACTATTGAAAATATGTTATCAATATGAATGATCAGTCTATAAATGTAATTTTAAAAATGGATTTAGTTTATGTTATTAAATATAGTAGCAGAATTAATTTTATATTTCAACAATAGAAGTATATGACTGTTTTGTTTTACAAAAAGATAATCAAGGTCATTTTTATATAAACCATATTCATATATTATTCATTAATGTAATTATTTTTGTTTCTTTTATCGTGTGCAAATTTGAAAATTTGAAAGTATAATAAGTATTGTACCAATTAATGTCATTAACAAAAATGACAGATGAATAATTGAAAAAATATCACACAGAGTTTTTTTTTATCAAATGTAATTGTAGATTTAAATGTTAATTATATAACTTGATGTATGATAGATGAAGAATTTCAAATACAAGTTTTAACATTGAATAATTCATTGTAAATAATCCAAAAATTTGAGGGTAGTAAAGTCTAAACCAAGAATAGTTAGTATAAGAAACCTCAAAAAACATATATAATAAAGAGAAAACTTAGATTTAAAAAGACAAAAACAAACACAATGCACTACAGTTTCCGGTTTATTAATTTAATTGAAGCAAACATTTTATAAATTACACATAATATAGACTATTCAGTCAAAGATTTAATTCATACAAATAATTATATGTATGACCAAAAACTAAAATACGAGTACAATCTTAAGGAAATTAATATCTAAATTAATATTAAATTAAAAATAATTGTTGTAAATATCTCATAATGTAAAGTTTTAGTTAGTGTTCATGTTTTAGTATAGTAGATGTATCACTAATAATTTACAATAATAAATCAAATTACTGCATGCAAACTATGAAATTATTGTGTTTGAAAATAATATACTAAACTATTAGCATTATGTTAAATATTAAAACTATTTACCACTAGTCATGTAAATCTAATATTTGTATAAAATGAAAATAATCACCTGTAGGGTTGTGCAGATCAAGATCTAGTTCTTTTATAACTACATCCATGAATATATAAGATAGTCCAATTTTTCACATAAAATATGCATGAAATTATGCATTTTTAAAATTCGAAGAAAGAACTATGCCATCTACTATAATTAAAAGCTCTTATTAAGAGCCTATGAGCTATGCCACATCAGCTAATTTAATCAGCCAATATGAACTGCATTTTCTACCACGTCACTGCCATGTGAGATTGTTCAGGTCAATAATATGCTGATTCGTATAGGAAAACAACAAAGGTTAGGCAGCAGAGTTGGTAAAACACAGCTTCTTAACCCTCAAACATCTGGGTTCGACTCCCACCAGTGACATTTTAATTTTTCTGATCCCACTAATATCTAATCCTGGGACCGCCCCCGCTTCAGCTGTACCAAAAGGAGGGCGTTCAGCATAAAAAAATCAGATTGTTGACCCAAAGAATGGAAAGAAGGGGACACGATTAAGATTAGATCCACCTCAAAAACATAAATCACCATTATATTTCCTTATGTTTTATGTCGTCCTTTTCGTTTGGTTATGCACTATAATTTAGAAATTTATCTATTTTTAATTAAACTCAACATGGTGGGTGGTGTTTAACCTATCAATATACATGTCTTCCTTTAAGCTCAAATTAAGTAAACGCAATATAGGCATTGAAGAACTCACTTCCTCTGCATGTTAAAATGTGTTAAAAAATATAATTTAAGATGTTAAAACTATTCATCAAAAACTATTTATACAACTTCTGAGCTAATAGTGAGTAATGAAACATTATGAATATATACACTCACAAAAGACCTGGAGAATAGAAATTCACAAAAAAACTTTTAAGAGGAAGACATGACAAGGTTAGAGAAAGCATGAGGACGTTGGTTTGGGACTCCCAGAGGTCCACAAAACAACTCAAAAAAAAAGAAAAATGTTAAGTTAGAGTAAGTTTCTTATTAGACACTACACTAATTTGTTGATATTTTGTTAGGAAGCTTTTAACTAAATAGACTCTCTTTTTTCTCTACGAACTCCTAACTAAATTATCGAAAAATGTGTCAAAACAGACTATGGTGTTAGGCTGTTGTCTTCTATCTAATAAATTTGGTTCCAGTGTGTTTATAGAAGATAGTACACAAAAAAACAGAATTCTTTTGAATTACATTAAAAATAACTCCAGGCGAACAAAAGTTGCCTTTAAGCATTACTAGAATCTGAAACTGGAAATTTAACAATGTTTACGGATTAATTTTCTGACACTTCTTACAGAGAGGCATATTATACTAACATGGTATATTATTCTCTTTAGTTGAAATCTATTTAAGTTGGCCAAGAGGATTTCACAAATTTAGGACTAGTGTGCACTTAAATATACAATTATATGATCTTTACTTGGCTGACATATTC